CAAGTCCATATAGACTTGTTCCCATTTCACTTCTTGTTTACTCAGAGACTCTGTCCCCTTAACTTGCAGTGCATAAATATTTCACTACAAGTTGAATAGACAAGCCAAAAAAGTGCATGGGCCTGAAGCCAGAGAGAGAGGGGGAGAAAGGATGCAAATAGAAAACAGACAAATGACAGAAACAACAGCGTGGTCCACATAGTGTGAGCAGTGGAGCGGAGCTGAGAGAATGTCACTCAGGTCACAGGGATTTGACGGATGAGCTTTGTTACTGGCTCTGTGTGACCTCGCCTTTCAACCCCTCTCAGCCTCAATGACACAAACAAACAAACACACACACACCTACGTACACATACACTGAGAGCGTTACCTTGGGGACATATATGTGTATGCCCAGGAACACAAACACAGGCTTCTAACCACACATACATGCCCACTCAGTCACAATGTACAGAACACATCGCGTGACATGCAAGGCAATGACAGCCTTTCCACATCGTCAGCTGAGGGACAAGCAGAAATTCCTGACCCGTACCTGCCCATGGCTCTGTGGGCCTGAAACCTCGATAGAAAGGGTAACACCACTTGTCTAAGCTGTTATGGACTTGACACACTATTCTCACACACTGGATTTTGGGAACATATCCACACACACACACTCCCTATCGACTCCTATCACTCGCTTATCTTTGCCTCAAACCTCAGTGACCATGCCAAAATCTCTGACTCTCACTCACCCATGAACACAAAACACAATAAAACATATGACCCATCACCGCCGTAAACAGTCTGACGCATCATTCGTCACAGCTGCACTGAGTATGCCGTTCTGATGCGGCGTTGTGTTGCTCCGGGAAAAAAACCCTTGAAACGAGAAAGAAGTGGACAGCTGAAGAAAAAGTAAAGATAGATAGATGGTTGCATGGATGGATGGCTCCTTAGACAGATGGATTGGTGAATAATGAGAGTATTGTCGAAGTCTTCCCGGTTCGCCAGGTGTTCGATAATCAATCCTCTTCTTTGTCAGGTAAGAAGGGTCTCTCACATCTCACCTGGACTTGTGATAATGCTCCTATGGGCTACTTCTTAAACCATGCAACCATGTATATGTAGTCAGACGCTGATGCAAATACAAATGCAAGAAAGCCACAGCCGCAATGAAACACACAGTCTTTAAAGTCTTTAAATTAATTAGCACACCATCACCTTAGCAAGACCAGTGCAGTCCAAGTATTGTCCTGTGAGCCTAATTAATCACGACTTTGGTTAGCAGCCAACAGAGCGGCAGGACAGCCCCCTTCTGTCTGAAACCTCCACAACATTGCTCCGGAGTGAACCCACATCCAGGGTTAACACAATTACCAGCATGTCCCCCTAACCATACATCCAGCATCACACCACAGGCACTGTAATTGGTGTGCCTCGAATTGCAGGGAAAAATTAGAAAAGCAGTAGAGGGAAAGGGGTGATTAATTTGCAGGAGGAGGAGGTCGATGGCGATGTAAATCACTGCATGTCAGCGCAATTTAATTTCCTGGATTCCCTCGGCCTTGTCTGCCACGCCAGCCTTGCTCGCTGATTGGTTAGCGTCAGGTCATAGCTGAAGAAGTCAAGGAGTGAAGGGCACAGTGCATAGCTTAATTACAGCACAGGACCCTGTGTGGACCCCCACTTCCCCCCATGCTTGTTTGCATGTCCCCATGAAAACAGGGGGTGAGGGATTAGGAGGACAAGTGACATGAAAGTCTGTGACAACATCAGCTAAGTCTTTATGAGCCAGCTGATCACATTCAGTTCTGTTTAAGACTTTAGCAGGCATATTGACGGACTCTCATTATGCGTTATGAATAAAACTGCTCTCTTGATTTGGAAGGAACAAAAATAGTTATGGCACTGAAGATTTCATCTGCTTATGATAATAAGGCAGCACTCAGTATGAAAGTGAAGCGCAGCCAAAGCTTTGATGTGCTTGTTTTAAAATCTCTATCAGTAAACAACACACCATCAAAAAACCCGAGTGTGTTACCATCAAAACAGCTCCCCAGGTTCAAACTTCAAACCTCACCTGCTCTATTGACTCTCCAGATAATGCCCTCAAGGAGACTTTGTTTGCATTAAACAACATCAAAATGCCGACTGCAATCTATAAACCAATCCCCACCTTTTACACCCCGTTTTATTAGCAAGCTCAGCGGCGCAGACAACAGAGATGCTGCTCCTCTTTGTTGCTAAATAAGACCCATTCAGCAAGGTTTACCCAGTGGGGTCAAGCATACAAAGCAAGCTATTCCTGGGGAGCAATTAGCTCTCAGCCACACCAATGTGAGGTCATGCCTCCTCTGGCCCTTTTGACACTGTCTGTTCACACCTGGGTTACCATCTTCTGCCAATCGTTTACACTATACGCTCTGCATGTGTGTTTGTGCATAAAGCTAAAGTAATAATTCTAAAAGAAAGGAATTTCTACCTGAGATCAGCCACAAAGGAGAAAATAACATAGAGTAAAGTACATTGTGTGTTTTATTTCTTCACCTAGATAAAAACTAATTATTTTGAGAACTGTATTTTTATACCTGGGTAGCACTGACTCAAGGGCTATTTGACTGTGTGCTTTTGATCTTATGTGTTGAAAAACCTCTTATCCTTTTAAAGCATAATATAACCATATTTATTCAAGCTATATACAGTGCTACAGTGTTTACAATCAGAGAGAGCTGATGAGGTGAGAAGGGTTTAGCTTCAGAGCTCCAGGCTGGGGCCCACCGCCTTCATCTGACTCTTTCCAGCCCCCATCTTGGTAAAGGAAGTGAAATATGTAAGCCAGAGATGATCATTAGGATAAGATAGGATGTGTTTATTAGTTTGCCACATGGCCTCCACCAATAACACAAAGGTTAACAAAACATCCTTAATATGTTGATATAACTGTAACTAGGCCTGCCCCATAATCATCGACTAAATGTTAGTCGACCAGACACGTAATTAATTTCATTGGTTGCTTAGTCACAAAAAAAAACACAAAAAAAACCCCAAACAAACAAAAAAAACAAACATGAAACTCTATTAGGAGCTGCACCTTGTCATAATACATCAAAACCTATATGACTGGACCATGTGGGAATTTAATTTGAAAGGACAGACACAGGAAGTGGCCACGCTCAGCAGTCAGCTTGGCTGGTACCTGCGGTTATTCCACAGGCTAGTTAATAACATGTCGGGCAGGAAATCCAAAGTGTGGGATCATTTTGAGAAGGTGAAGGACGAACCCAAGGTGATATGTAAACTCATCTTCATTGGTCGACTACAAACATGACGTATCATCTGAAACATGGAAGTTGCTACATGCCCATTAGCCCACAGCGTCATTGACAGGCGGCTCGCTCAGTGTGTGACGTGCACTTGTAGATAAAATATAGGCCTATATTAATGAAGGTTCATTAGTACGGTTTTGTATTTCTCTGTAATGTAGCACAGTGTTAACAATGTTACTGATACTATTCTTTCTCACACCTTCAACTCAAACCATTGTGTTGCCCCACCCAAAATATACAATTTAATAATTAAATTAATATCGTAAACATGCGGGCGACTGGTCGACTAATGGCCCTAAATGAAGACTACTGGTCGACTAGGACAATTCTAAGTCGGGGGCAGCCCTAGCTACGAGCTAGCTATGCTAATGTCATATACGGTAATGTTAGCTTATGTTAACAAACTATAAGGTTAGTAGCTATGCAAGTTATTTGCTGCTTAGCATCACTTTAACTTACTTTATAAGTGTTGTGTGCAATGTATTAAATAGAAGCACAGTAGGCTGCTTTATTTATTAATGCTGAGCGTGGTAAAACAATACACTGCACAATATAATACAGTAGTATGTAAACATTATTAATTGATAAGGAAGCGCAATAAACACATGTGATTTTCCACCATGGGTCCTAGTGATGGAGATGGGTCCCAGTGTCAGAGGTGGGCCTGAGCCTGGAGCTCTGCAGCAGAATGCTATTGCACAAGGTGGTTTTATGAAACAAGTTAAAACCTCCACTCCAAAAAACTCTACCTTTAGGTTAAATAATGTAGAACCATGCTGTTTATCTGCTATTGACCAGCTTTGCTTGCAGAGGACCTTACGATATACAAAATGCATATAGCACCACACATAAAACACTGGCTGCAAAACAAGCTAATTTGCACCAAAGTCTTAAAGCAGAGTCAATAAGGTGATACCAGACACATGCACATGGGCTCACACACATCCACCCACACAGACGCACACATGCATGCCTGTGCATGTACACATCATCGCTACAGACATACACACACTGACACTCAAATAAAAACACACGCACAAACTCAGGCATGCCTGGAGTCCTAATGACCTGCGCCGTGTGTTTGCGAGGGTGTAAGAGTGTGTTTTGAATTAGGAAGAGGAGAGGCAGAAGATGAACTAACGATGGCTGCTAATAATTACAGATCTGTAGTGTGGAGGAGTTAATGAGGAGCCAAAGCCTCCCATGATGCCCCAGTAATAATGAATGAGGAGTGAGGGAGAGGAGGGAGGGAGGGAGAGGGGGTGGTAGCTGTCAGTTTGAGAGGCTGCAATGCCCTTTGGTTTCTCTGCACTCTGGGCATGTCAACGAGAGAGGAGCCTTCCCAGAGGAGGCTTGTCTCCACACTAATGAAGATGTGACAGACCTCCGGTCCGTGACTTGCAGAGTATAGGAAAGAGGAGGAAGGAGGATGAGGAAGAGAGACAGCTCATATAAAATGAGAGGCACTGAAAAGGTGAAAGGTTGCCAAGTCCTTCAAAAAGAATGAGACAGTGTCGTATAGAGGCAAAACTCATAGGTGATGGTTTTTTGGGGTGATTCGATTGCTGCATATGTCAATAAAACATTGACTTGACATTTTAAGGATACATTACATGCAGATAAATCATAGATGAGTAAAATAGATAATGTTAGGCACTCAAGCAAAAATAAAACCTTCCAAGTACTCACTAGAGAGCTGGTGTAGCTGGGATCAGAGGTGTCATCCTGTAGGTAGCGTGACAGGCCAAAGTCAGACACTTTACACACCAGGTTGCTGTTGACCAGAATGTTTCGTGCAGCCAGGTCACGGTGGACGTAGTTCATCTCTGAGAGATATTTCATCCCAGCTGAGATCCCACGCATCATCCCTACCAACTGGATCACCGTGAACTGTCCATCGTTTTGCTAGAGGATGGAGAGAAAACAAATATAAACGGTTATTTAGATATTATCTTTGGCACAATTAACACAGATGAGAATAGCTGGAGGATCGAGAGGTGTCAGAAAATGCGAATATTACAGCTTTTTAATGATAATGAGCTAATTATGTTGGTTCTCCTCTGAATCATAGATGCTGTGTTGGCAAAAAATTCCACCCTTGAATGTTGATATTTTAAATACAGACATTCTGAATCAGATTTTCTTCAAGGAATTATCAGTGCAAAAATAAATGACATGTTTGTGCTATTTATTTAATGTTTTATACAGACAAAATGTAGTCTTGATGTCCTCAGGAAGACTGCCCAATGGGACTCCAAAATTATAAAGACCTTGTAGCAATCATTATTACCACAGCCAGAGGGTATATCCACATAAAGTGGCAATGGGACGAGGTGTGTTGTCAGGCCTGGCATGTACATAAGAATCTAGCAGGCTCGTCTACCTGCCTTTCTTATCTATTTGAGATTGGAGCAGCCTATTTTCAAAGCAAGTAATTATGTTCCCTTATTTCAGAGCAGGTTTTTTTTTTCCCTGCCCTTCGCTTTTAATAATTTGTTGTTTACACTGTGCTATTACAAACTAATATCCTGAGCTCTTTTTGGCCTTTCTAATCCTCTTGAAAAAACACTTCAATCCCCATGGTGAACGAAGAATCCAAAAACGTAGAAGATTCTTGATGAGTTCAAGTCATAGGCATCTGTGTTTAACAACAGCAAGTCTCACCTGTCCAGTCATGTGATCAGTACCGTCCCAGAAAGACGGCCCTTTCCGAAGAGGAACTGAACTAACAGTAAAACCTATCAATGTTCTCTGTTCGCCAGACTCCACTGACAAAAGCACTAATTTTACCTTGCTGAAGACAGGAGCTGCCGTTCCACTGCTGCCTCTACTGGTAGTTTGTGTTATTGTGTTACTTTGGCGAATCCAAAACAATCCTTTACAACACGAAAGTCACACAATAACACAAACTAACTAACTGATCGAGGCAGTGGTAGACCAGCACTTCTAGTGGTCAGCGATGTAAAATTACTGCTTTTGTCAATGAAGTCTGGCTTTGAAGACAGCATAACAAGTTCCACTTTTAGTTCAGCTCCCCATCGGAAAGGGCTGTTAAGGAAGTACTGAGCATACAAGTTGTGTAAGAGTTTGTAATATCCCAAGGAAAAGTACACTTGTATTAGATAAGCAAAATGGATTCCTGAAGCCAGTCTTGCTCATTGCAGGTGTTAGAGCATTGTTCAGTTCGGGCATGAGGGCATCCATCTCTTCAACATCCACGCATGGTGCACCTACCCCTGTGCGAATGCTCTGAAGAGCAAGCTTTGAACCCCCAAAACACAGTAACAAATAAGAGGGTAAGGGAGATCGATGGAAACACAAGTCGGATGTGGCGGTTAGCAAAGCCAACTTCAAAGAGCCCCTTTAAACCCACCCTAGATCAAAGTGGAATAGAACACCAATCCATGAGATTGAAGGAGGAAAAAAGCGAGTTGAATATTGATTAAGCTGTATGTCCGTTCAATCCTGACTATAAAAGAAAGAGTGAAGAGTCCATTAAAAGCTTCAGGCATTAATAGAGAAATTAAAGGCTGATAGAGCTTGCTGGTGGAAATTTTCAAATTAAGAATGATTGAAATCGTGTTCATTGTCGTGAAACATATTCTCTGTTGGCACAAGATAGGTTTAGAAGGCCCATTATAATTTGTATTAGGAGTAATTCTTAGCATGGACTCCTTTTCGGGGACTGTTTAACAATTAATTTCCAATTAGCTCCTAAGTTCCATTATGCACGGTTTCTATTCAGCTCCTGAATATGATTTTTAATTATAACTGTTTCTAACTTTGTATGACATACTACATGTATGTGTCCATAAAAATTACTTACCCTGAGGAATGAGTCCAGGGCACCATTCTCCATAAACTCTGTGACGATCATGACCGGACGACTCTTTGTAACGACACCCTCCAGACGGATAATATTAGGGTGGTCAAACTGGCCCATGATTGACGCCTCAGACAGGAAGTCCCGCCTCTGCTTCTCCACATAACCCGCCTTCAAGGTCTTGATGGCTACATAGATCTCCCTCTTACCAGGCAGCTTCAAGCGACCCTTGTACACCTCCCCAAATTCACCTAGAGGGGAGAAAGAAGGAGAGAAGTGTACACTGGTTTCTCTGTCAAACACAGATCTCCTTTGTGTGATCAAAAAGTGATCACACAAAAGATTAGTAGAGTTGATGAGATCTAAATCTATTCATCTATCAAGCTTATTTACATCTCATGTCCCTTGGCAGAAATTATAGATCTTCATTTAGTCTTCATCAAGCATGCTGAGTGTTGTCCAATACTCCTCTAGTGTTGCTCCTTCATGATATTCTTAACAGTGTGGCTCCTATCCTAAAAGCCAGCCAAGTGTCTTCTTATTCCCCAATCAAAGAATAGCATGCAAGCACTTTCTGGTAAATATCTGGAACCTGTTTGATTAATTATCACCACCTTGGTGTCCTGCAGAGACGCCACAGAGTGAAATCAACAAAAACGGAAATCTTTAATTAGATAGTCCCCTTGCATCCTTACCCCTTTCCTATCCCTGTCACTTCCTCACACCTAGCGTGCTGAGTGGGTCAGTCTTTAAGAGCTGTTCCAGGCCCCGTTTCATTACCAGGGGTATTTTAGCCTCCCTATGAACCAACACATGGTATCAGTATGCCCTTACTGCTGTAAAACAAGGTGTGTCCTGTTCCAAGGAAAAGGCATGCTGGAGACATGTGGACATACTAAGCTCAAGTTATTTTTCCCTCCAGATGTTCAGAGTTTACTTCAAAGCAATCAGCCGCTAACCACCAGTTCATCAATTATAGCAGACATTCTAACAATACATAAGAGATCATTAAGGACCAGGGATGTCAACAGTTAACAATGAATTGGTTAACTGCTGAGAATATTTTTGACCAGTTATCATTACGCAAGTACGTCTGTAGGTTAATTTTACCGCATCAACCAGGGCTGGTGGGAGCTAACGTTAGCTAGCAGAGTCGATCATTTGGCAGTTAGTGCTTGTAAGGCTGTCCCAACCCAACACCTCTGCTGTGGAAACACAGACTTTTTACACAGTAGGCATTTTGACATGTCATAGTAGGAAAAGTATAGGTGTGTTCAGTAACAGCAATATTAGCTGCATTCCATTTAGGGGAGGCCCTGGTTTTGTCCATGCTAGTTCACTGTTTACTGAGACACTAATGGAACCCAGCCAACATTAATGTTATCACTTTCACCTGTGTTTGTCCAACTATTACAAGTCAAAGTGTCTGCTGTGAGTCAACCCACTGAGTAAGCAGCTTCATTTTGAGCTGCAGACCCTCTTCTGCATTGTTAACTACTTTTAGTTTTGTTGGTGCTGTTAGCAGTTTCAGCATGGCCAGTGATGCTAATATAATTACCAAAGTGTAAGGAATTTTGTGGCTCAAAATGAAGCCACTTGCTCACTGGGGCTATCAGGGGGATGGGGGACACCCTCCATGTGTCCACAGTGACGCTGTCCCGCCACCAGGACGCAAGCATTCCCCTCCATTTTAAGCCACAAAACACCTTTAGCATTGTTAACTAGCCACGTCGACACTGCTAACAGTAGATAAAATGCTAAGGGGGTTTGCGGCTCAAAATTAAGCTGTTAAATCACTGGGGCGCCCTGGGGGAGATTAGAGAATAGGCATAATGTGTCCACAGCAACACTGTTGGGTCAGGATGGTGTTACATTTTTGGTAATCATCGAATGAGCAGCGCTGCTAGCTAGCTCCCACCTGACCTGGGTGGTGCACAGTTCTGTTAGCTAACCAGAAGGGAACGGAGGGTGGGCAGTGGACACTATGTTTCACCACATTAACACAGCTAGCTGATTGCCAACAAAGCCAAATGTCAGCAAAGCCAACAGAAGACATTTACTTTGCAAAACAGTAAAATTCTACCCCCTCTAAATGGATGGCGCTTCAAAATGTGGCACTAAAGCTCACTGAGTCAGTGGAGCGCTGGACTAAAAGGTGTATTTTACCTAATTTTGAGTTTTATTCCTTAAAAGTAACCGATTAGTTGCCAGTTAATGGGTGTTGACCTATAGGAAGCAAAACTGACATCCCTACTCAGGACAGACAACAAATGCCTCTACCAAATTTACATGTAAGGTAAATTAAAAGGGCATGGTAGAACATGCTAGAGAGCAACTCTAATAGGGTCCAAAAACAGAGGAGCACTGGGAATAGGCCGCAAGGCTTGAGTTATTTCTAATGCCATTAGGTCCCAGGGTAGCTGGCCTATATGCTGCTAGTGCTCTTGACATGGGCCCTTGACATGTTCCCATCTGATGTGGCTGCCACAAGGGCTGGGCTTCCTGACCTTGAACAGATGCAGGCTAAACTTGTTTGCACACAGGCACACAGACGCACACATGTAACATACAGAGATACATGAAAACACAGCAACCAACATTCACCTTGCCTTACGCGTGAATGCACACACATTCAGAATTCTCCATACCTGCACCGATGACCTCCTCGATCTTGACAGTGGAGACGTCAATCTCCTTGGCGAATTCTCTCACAGCTTCGTTGGGGTCTTCGTAGGTAAAGGGATCTATGTAGATCTTCATCCCCGGGGAGCCTGAGAAGTGGGTCGGGCAGCCCAGTGGGGAGGGGCAGTTAGACATGTCGGCTCGCAAAGAGAGTTCTAGAACAACCAAAGTGCTCAATGAGCTTTCCAGAAGAAGACACTGTTTTTATGTTTCTTTGGGTTTTTTTTCCTCCTTTGCCTAATGTCTAGTGTTAACGATTGATGAAGGCAATTGCCCTCCAAGTCGTAGCCTAAATCACAGTGTGACACAGCATTACTTGCAATCACTGCAAGCTCTTAACAGTTGTAAATGATGATAACTCCATTTGCTCTATGGTCCTCCTCAGAGACAGGCGAGAGCACTACAGTATGCAAATGAATATTAGCACACATTGCACACATTAAATAGTATAGGTGGGATATTACAGATGCCGCCACGGTTACAAGAAGAGCAGACAACAAAATGGTGGTTTGATGATTCAGTGCTTGGAATGGGGAAACAGACCAGAAAAAATGACAGTGAGAAAGATGAAGGGAAAGATGAAGGGATGAGGGTATATAGAAAGAGTAAATGTAGACAGATTTTTTTTTTTACCCTTTTATCCCTTACCCTAGCAGTCTCTGCTCTTTGATAGTGGTAGAACCAATTTCCCCACAGCCTTTCCCTATAGGAGCTCATAAAGAGATAAAACCACCTCGCTATCAACTAGCTCTTTATGCTGTTCTGCAATAGGTGACTCAGTTCACAGACTGGAGATGCCTGCAAACGGAGGACAGATTTTTAGTGCCGACAGGCCGGGGGGAGGAGTGCCGAGACACACTTGTAAACAAATTCAATACAGGCTGCCGCATGACGGACATTACGGCGAGCGAGCAGACGTCAAATCATCATTTCTACAGTGACACCCAAGGGCAGCCCTCTTTCTCAGAGCTGTTTAGTCAAAATCTTGGCAGCCATGATTGGAATAAACCCATCTCCATCAAGTCAATTTGTGCCTGCTTATTTGCATAAGCCACATAGAGCGAGGGAGGGGTCTCGAGAGATCTGAGGAGGATAAGGTCTGGTCTTGGAGGGATCAAGGTGCCTCACCTCGTTCTTGACTAGAAGCTGATTCTAGTTACCGCACTAATTGCCTTGAACCCTGCCTGTGTGGATGTAATTGCTCATTAGAGATTCCATACAGATTGGATTCAAGTTAATCCATCAGAGGGTTTACAGCTTTGCATTCCATAAAGTCGTTCTATTTACAAGTGTCGCCAAGCTGCTAACACACAGCACCACTGGGTGGGACTCAGAATCTCAGCAGGGAGCGTATACACCAACAAACATAAGAGAACACACGCACTAAAAATCTCAACCACACATGCACGCCGCCTACACATACGTACACCCATTACTTTCCGATTCAGAGTCTAGAGCCCACGTTCATATATAATTTAAAATGCAAACAGTTTATCTCGCTCCCTCCCTGTGGTGCAGCCCTGGTTAACTGGACTCATCTTTTTATGGCCATTAGATAAAAAATAGATTTCTGCTTTAATATTTCATAGGTCCTTCATTTGAGTGTTTGAAGCAAATGTATCCAAACGTCAGTTCTATTTCTACCTAACATATAAAACAAAAAGCCTTTCGGGAGAGATTGCACGGCTGCTGCGATGACTCATGGGCACATAGCACATGCTATTACTTGATACCTTTCTCAATTAAATGGCCATATATAACATAAATGGGAAAAATGGACAAACTCATAAATTTAATGAGTTTGGATTATAAATCTCAACAAATTCCCGAGGCTATCACACAATTGCTTATGCGGTTAAGTGTATTTAGTTGACCTGAATTATAAATGACAGTTTACTGCACTGCACTTAACCATGTTATTTTCACCAATGTCCAGCATTTAGGCTGTTATTAGCCTGCCCTGCTCGTTTACAGAATGGCCTTAATGTATCCACAAATCAACCGCACAGCAGTAATGCTTACATTAATCTATTACTGGGTTTGGGCAGAATCAAATTACTGGTCCTAGGACACAGAATTTACTTACTGCCTAAAGACAAACAGCAATGATGGGAAGTGAAACTGTATGCAGCATGAATGCTCATCTTTTTAATTTAAAGGCATTATTTCATATGTTAGTGTTTAATCAAAGAAATATACTTTTTTTGCCTCACAATATTTGTAATTTAGCAATTGCAGTATATTGTAATTATATGTTTTATGTGATTATCCACTTTGAAAAATAAACATACACAATTGCAGGACACTGAACGCCTGTAGTCCCATTTCATGTCCGCCCGAGATGCATACTAATCTATTCTGTGGCTCTGTGAATATAATGAGTTGAGTTTATTTCCTAAACACAAACTAATTATCCGTCGTTTGATGTCAGAAAATCATTTGTCAGACACACACTGCAGCTTATTAGCATGGAAATCACAGAGGGGATCTAAAAATTGTATGGGATTAACTGTCACATTCGTACAGATGTTAGTTTGGTTTTTATCAGGCATGTGGTGCCTTCTGCAAGTCGCCTTGTGAAAGATACAAGTCTGATCGGCAAAAATGGCTTTGACCTCTGAGACGGGATGATGAAGGGCAATGACAAATGTCACAACAATCTCCAGATGTTTACTGATTCTGTCCATGCAACAGCTTACTCACAGAATTCACACACATGAATGCAGTGTGCAGTGGCAAGAAAAAGAGACACAACTCAAGTATAAACATATTTGGCATCTAACAATAACTAGATCTGTTGAATGGGCTTCCGAATCCCATTCTCATTCAGCGTGAGCACCAGATGCTGAAACAACAAACAACAGCTGAAGCTACAAAGCGCCAAACAGTGTTCGAACATTAGCGATTTAAAGATGTGTTGGTAGTCATATGCAGAAAAGCATTAGGGCACGCAGTAAACATGCAGTGCTTGGAAATGTCTGTCTGTCTGTTAATTAGCTGGTGTTGATGGGCTGTTGATGTGTTGAAAAGAGTAAAAGGGAATAGATGAACTGAGAAAAAAATCTGTAAATGCTCAGACGCAGTGAGGTGTGTATAATATGTTGGGATGAACGCTGGTGGTACTGATGATGCGCTGATGTGTGCAATTAAAACAAAAAAAATAATGTATCCAAGCCACACAAGCAGCACTTGAGTCATCTGCGGAAATGATGTGTGTGTTCATGCGTGTGTCCCAATCTGCTCGTCATGACATCCCACCCAGTGTTTGATGTAATGTTAGAGGTCTCATTTTCATAACCACCACCACACCCGCGCTGCACTGGTGAATTTACAGTGTGAGCAGCATCCCGCTTGACGCCTGTCACATTAGGTGGGCTGGGAATGAGGAGACATCACCTGACGTGTGGTGGCAACAGCTGGAACAGTAGGCAGCTGGGTGAAAGCTGGCGACACATTTTTTGGAGATTCACCCAAAACAATTGGCTGAGCGGCGCTATTTAATTGTTGCGTTGAATACTGTAATTAGAAAACTGCCAGTCAAATCTTGAGAGAATAGAAGACAACAATGCATCATGGGATGGGGGGATTACTTCATGAGTGTTGGCGGTGCGAGGGTTGAAGGAATAAACCTATGAATAGGATCCCTTATCAGCGTTTTATTTCCACTCCACTTCAAATTGCTTATTTGATGATTAGGGCCGCGAGCGTCTCTGATCTTTTGTTTATTTTCACCACTCATGTTAATTGCATTTGGTTTTCCCAAAGATAGCCGGTGACAAAACTGACTCTTCTGCCCGCAGCAGGTTTAATGAGCCCCTGGCTGCCACTGCTGGAGCTTTGACACAAAGTAACTGTGTTGAAACGCTTTGCTGTGTCAGGCTCAACAAAACTCTATCCCCTCGAGTGAGCCCCCTTTCAGACTGCTAGGTCGGCAGTACACAGGGCTTTCATTTGAGGTACAAATCTCACACACACCCTTTTGTGTGTATGTGTGTGTGGGAGGTTATTCGTGTGTCCCTCCAGGCTCCTTCCCCTCATCAGTCGGTGCCAGGGGAGTGCTTGAAACATGACTCAATCACGGCTATCGTACAGCCCTGAGAGATGACACGTCAGTCAGTGTCATTGTGTAAAGGAAGGAAAATGTCTTTTACATCCACAGATGCCTGGCGCCTCAGGTCATTTGTCTTTTACCTCACCTCCTTCTCATTAATGCATTGTGTACATGCTTTATGTACATGTCCTATATCACACATGGTATGACAGCAGTAGAGGACTGAACAAAGGTGAAAATGGAGGTACAGGAATTATTAATAAATAGGGCAACACCCAAAAGACTTACTGTCAACGTGGGCAGCATTATCCTCGAAATGTTTTATTTTTTTTACCACAGAATGTGTTTAGTACGGTTTAAAGGAAAAGTTTTTACATGTAGTGCTACTTATTTATTTATCACAAGTACATATGAAAAAATTAACAGCAATGTCTCTTTCCAGAAATCATGAGCTAGTTACTCACAATAATCCACAGACCTTGTTGTAGGGGTGGGGGAAAAATCCATACAGCAAAGTACCGTTTTGTGTGACAATATCTTATCGTCACACAGTGCCAATTTTAGTATCAATTTTTTTGATAATATCCTAAACTACCCTAAACTAAACATTGTCAACAACAATAAAGTCCCAATGTCTTCAAACGAGTACTTCTTAATTGACAGTGTCAGCTTGTTACTGTTACTAACATTGATCAAATTTGTTGCCGTACATTCTAAACATTATTAATCATAAATAAATAAGTTTCAACCATAAAATGTGATCAGGTTTTGTCCACTTTTGTGTCGGGATCGGCTGCAGACTGACTTGGCAGAGATGGCTGCCTTCTTGTTTTTACATAGATTGGTGTATTGTGCTCTTACAACCACTAGATGGCAAAAAAAAAGGTCTAAGTTACGTAGAATTAAATGTGATGTCCTCCTACCAGGACACAAGGTCTACAGAGGATAGAAATAATTAATATTACAAATACAAATTAAACTTTACATAGTCTACTAGAATAATAAAATCAATTGCTTATCCAATAGATACAAATGGCTGAAGTGAGATAAACACACTGAAAAATTTATCTTATTAAATAAAATAGACGTTGACAAAGTTTTCCTTTGGAGACATAATTTACAGTTGAAAAAAGGTAATGTATCGCAATATATTTTATTACAATACTCAGCATATCACAGCATATTTAAAATCGCCATAATATTGAATAGTAGATCCTCTGGTGATTCCCACCCCTACCTTGTTGCGAGTTGATTTACATAGGAACTCTTTTCTTTGTATCGAACTACACCCACCAGTCATATCACCACGCAGAAGGAAGCACAAACTACTGCTACCTCACCTAGCATCACTGAGCTAGCTAATGTTACAGCTCAGCTGAGGAGGACGCCATTAATGTTTAAATCTTGCACTGTCATGAGCATGAGCCTCTTGCCCATGAGTAGATGCACTCTTCCTTTTACACAGTGATACTGTTGGCGGGTGTAGTTTGGTAGAAAGAAAATAGTTCCTTCTTAAACTTCTCACAGCAAGATCTGTGAATTATCTTGAGTAATCGGGTCATGATTTCTGGAGAGAGACATTGCTGTTGAGTTTTTTAAATGCATTTTTTTAGCACTTAAAGCACCACAAGGACATCTAGTTCCATAATATTTAAGAGAAGGCAGACATCTCTATGGCCGATATCTTTAACACTCAGCAACTCACAGCAAAACAATCAAGACTGATAAATAGCACTACAGGTAAGAGGAAAAGAATATATGTATTTGGGTGAACTATCCCTTTAAACTGATTTGCATCAAAATAAACAGAGTAAGAGACAATCATACAAATTGCGTGATATCTGCCATGATTAAATCCTGACTGGGAATACAAAGGATTTGTACAGGGATGAGTGTCATATTGACTATGCCTACAATAATCTGTCAACCAAACTGGTGTATCTAAACACAAATGAAGACATATATTTTTTTATTCTTATTATTTTAGTTCTAAGTGTTTTATTGACTAAATGTGTGAAAGATTGGATGAAATCTGTAGTAGGAGTGGTAAAAAAATATTGCTCTGCTCAGGCTTGCGTGGGCTACACTGATGCAATCATCTTGAACCATGGCATCCAGGAAAAGTCTCTCAGTTCAGGAGTTATGGGCCAAAGTGTTAAGTGCTTCATAAATAGCCATATGGTGGCCAAAATCTGCCAAGTACTTCTTGAAATATCCAGCAAATTAACAGACAAACAAAACATATGGGACCAAAAACTTAGTACTTGAGCTTATGTTAGCTGGAACTATTAGGGTGGACTCACCTCTTCCTGTGCTGTAATGCTGCAACTTGTCACTGTACACCGCCTCCTTGGTGTATGCCCTTTTCCTGAGGGAGCAAATTGAGAGAGAGGAGAGAGATGACAGGATGAAAGGAAGTGTAAACGGGGCCTTATTACTCTTCATGTTTCTCTGTATGGTCTGAAAATGACGCGGCTGAAATTGAATCAGTTGCAGAGGGTTAGCAATGGCAAATGAAGTTTATGAAAATGAGCTGATTTTTAATTAGACCTTGATAGGATCTCTCTGCTTTTCATCTGTCTCCTCTGCCTCGGCATCAAAAGAGCCTGGCCCGTTTGATGAACACTTTACTTGCTCAAAGTTGCACACAGCACTGCAGAAAATTCGACTTTCATATATTGAAAGCAGAGCAAGATAGGAATGCGACAATGTGACTAACTGCTGCAAAATTAAATTGGCTTGACTTAAGTAAGTTAACAGGGCAAAGTAGGAGTTGTTAGGTTCTCTGTGGAATTGAATATTCAATTTAAAATATGTCAACTTAGCTTTCCTTTCCATCAAAGTGATTGCTACTACTAAATGCTCAACGAGTGTAGGAGCTCACACACGGTATGTTCCAAAGTATGACCTGGGGGTGTGGCTCTGTTGCTAATACAGTATATCTTTAAAACACACTCTACTAAATGAGCTTCAGTATCAAAGAATGTCAGTAGTTTTAAGATACATTTTCAAGATACATCACAGTTGTATTTCATTTTGATATACTGTGTTATATGCAAAGTAGTTGCAAATGGTTAAATTCTGATTAAAATACTGTGCAATCCATCACAATGTGACAGAAATCCATCTTCATGCAGTGTTGCCGTCTGTCTATCAATAGTTATTAGCAAATGGAGGAGTGCTGAGGGCTTCTGTGTAGGATGTCATCGGGTTAATGTTATTAAATCCAACCCCTACATTTGCTACAGTTCCCCGGGAAGCTACATGCTCTCATTATAAAGGCAAAAGTGGAATGGAGTTGTTACTATTTTATTCTTGAGGAGAAAAACTGACACATGGAAAGAAGCAAGATTCAATCTTCTAAAGAAGCCTGCCTAGAAATGTGGGATTTCAGCCGGAGGCGGTGCCTTACATCCTGTGTTAGAAAGAGTGCTGCGTGCCTGATGGGCGTTCTCGTTGGGTCGTTTGGGTTACTTTTTGGAGAAGCTAGCAAATCTGTGACCTGAGAAGTTGTTTATTAACCTAATCTTTGCCTTAACCCCACAATTAAACCAACAGGAGACCTTACGCCAAACTATAGCTTTAAACAGAGAGGATTTTTTGTGATCATGCATTTATGAGGACACACTTAAATTTTTGCACCTTGTACTTCTGACACAGCTGAGACTGTGACTAGACTTCCTGCAGATTTGATGACTTTTACCTGACTGCTGATAAATTCTCAAATTAACCATCATAACATTATACTGGAAAAATATACATCTAAATAAAGCTAAAATATATTGATGTTTAGAAGGACTAATTTATGTCCAATGACAAAATCTACTCAGGTGGGGGGTCTGTATTCTGATAGGGCTGCCCCTGATAGTCGACCAAATGTTAGTCAACCAGAAAGGTCATTAGTTGGCAAGATTTCATTGATTGCTTAAAACCTATATGACTGATCCATTGGTGAATTTAATTTGAAAGGACAGACACAGGAAGTGGCCACACTCACGTTAATTTCCAGGGCTGGTACCTGCGGTTATTCCACAGGCTAGTTAATAACATGTCGGGCAGGAAATCCAAAGTGTGGGATCATTTTGAGAAGGTGAAGGACGAACCCAAGGTGATGTGTAAACTCATCTTCATTGGTCGATTACAAACATGACATATCATCTGAAACATGGAAGTAGCTACATGCCCATTAGCCCACAGCGTCATTAACAGGAGGCTCGCTCAGTGTGTGACGTGCACTTGTAGATAAAATATAGGCCTATATTAATGAAGGTTCATTAGTACGGTTTTGTATTTCTCTGTAATGTAGCACAGTGTTAACAATGTTACTGATACTGTTCTTTCTCACACCTTCAACTCAAACCATTGTGTTGCTCTGCCCAAAATATATTATTTAATATTTAATTAATATCATAATCATGTGGGTGACTAGTCGACTAATGGCCCTAAATGATGACTACTGGTCAACTAGGACATTTCTTAGTCAGGGGCAGCCCTAATACTGATATAGGTGACATAGGTGTGACATCAAATGCACAAATGATATATTTCCATATGCCTTCACACTTGACATGCATCACATAAACTGATCACATATTGTGAGTGTGTATTATTCAGTCTAGTTCTCCTAATTTCCAAGCTTCAGATGTAAAACCAGCCTGTACTTTGCCACTCAGTGCAACCTCTAATTTTCATCAAATCAAAATAATTCAGGATTTTTGTTCTGCATTTGCATAAAGAAGCACACAGAGTATCATATCAGGTATGAGCACACACTCAGAGCATGGGCTGAGACGCTCATGGAGCTCGCTGAAGTGTGTATGTCTGCGTCAAGCAGAACCACACCCATCCAGTGTTTTCTTAGGAAGTCCTGTATTGCAGGGGACACAAAAAGGAAAATGTGGTTACCTGCTGCACACGATGGAGATAGCGACCAGGGAAACAATGAAGACCACTCCTGCTGCCGCTGACCCCGCAATCAGAGGAAGCTGTTCCCTCAGCTCAGACTTGAAGTCATCTGTGTTACACAAAGAAAAACGCAGATGGACAGACATTAAGAATAGCTTAGGTAGAGCTTAAGGAGCATGACTGTGTTTATTCAGAGGTGTGTATGTGAGTGTGTGTTTGGGAGGTAAAGGGAGAAGAAGAGGCAGAGCAGAATGGTTGGACTGGGTGTACTGATGGATAAAGAAAACATATAGATCTATCTGCTGAGAAGTGCTGACTGAAATCCAGTGAGCTTTAGCAAGACTGACTGACAGGTTGTGTTTGATAAACCAGGGGAGAGACAGAGAGACAGAGAGTGACAGAGAAGCATAAAACTGATGGTGAGACAGAGCGAGGGGCGCCTCTCAGCCTCCTCTGCTGCAATACCTGTCAGAGACGAGCGGACAAGAAAATGCACCTTGGAATGTTGTTTCTCAGGTGTTGAAAAGGAAGTCATCTACTGCCAATCACACATGCAGCCCAAACATGTTTTATGTACATAGCCGGGGCAGGCTGGTGGTAGTTCAGAGGACGGCTTAAATGCCTGCCTAAAAACTCTACACAGCAGAATCCTCAGTTATCTTTTTGTGCGCCTGTCTTCCCGCGACTCTGGCACCAGCAAACACTGTAGTTAAAGCAATGCACGATTTAGCATGCTGCAGGCAAATCAGCAGCTTCTAAATCCAATCCCCCGTGTAGAATGGGCCTATTGGATTAAAGTGATAAAGGGAGAACTAATGCATCTTCGAAGCAGCGTGAGAGCTGGGATATATGAGGAAACTCAATGTGACAGGAATTGCTCACTCTTTTAACTTGCACATTTATCAAGTACGTTTCAAGCAAACAGTGTGAATGATGTTCTGGCTTCTCAAGCTTCCAGGCAGTCTTCCTGTTCTCTTTTGATGCATATTAGGCGGGAGAGGTCCAGATAAATCTCCCCTTCACCCATATGAGAATGGTGATTTTCCCTGACAGCCAGAAATCATGCAGCTACCTGTTCCTGTGGTAAATAGGCTCCTATTACAATCAGTTAGTTAGCGGGGCCTCAGCCTATTAGAGAACTGGAGAACTGTGACATCAGTAACCCTACTGATGGACCAATCAACTCTTTTTTATCACACCCGTCAATCAAGTCTGCACCACTTGCAAGTGTGTGTGTGTGTTTGTGTGTGTAGAGGTGGCAAAAGGACACCTTGCGGAGGTGTATGAAAACGTGGCGACAGGAAGACAAAAGGGATTATAGGTTTTGAGAAAAGACGTGGAGGGAAAGCGGCGGTTAGATGGCGAGGCGGTGCCTAAATGAGACAGTGGAGCAGCTTGACAGGGAGAAAGGGAAACCTGCAGAGGGGCAGGAGGTGGAGCCGTGGGTGTGATTGTCAGCAGTTCTCTAGCGTCTGCTGCTGCCGCTAATTGCCCTGACGAATGTCGTGCTATGGCAGCGAGCCAACAGATGAACTGTAAACAGTGTTGGTGTGGGCGAGCGTGAGCCGTGTGCATGTGTTAGAGGGGAAAGATAATTTGTGACCATGAGGGTGATGCAAAGGGGCCGTGACTGTGGCACTACATCTGCTCTATGCAGGTAAATAGCCACGATGATCACCTTCATCATCATTATTATCCCTCCCGTCTTCCCCATCCCTCAAGATCATCATCGTTTTATTCATCGTTATCATCTTCATTAACGGAATACAATGTGGAAATGTCACTCATGTCTTTGATACATGATGAGCTATGGCCACATGTGCAGTGACGGACAAAGGAGACTCTGCACTCTTTGCAAGCCCACCAAAAAATGTATCTTTTGTAAACAATAAAAACAACTAATGAGAAATTGACACAAATTGAGCATGGCATTAGTTCAGGCAGGACACAATGTCAAGTTCAGCTCACATCCCAGCTACATCAGCTGATCTCAAACAGCCCAATCAACTGATGGAGCAGCTGATTGATGGAAGGGAGTCAGCTGATAGATCACATGATTCCTTTCTATGCAACCAATGGAGAATCTCATTCAGGGCGCCCTATTTAAACTGCTCTGGCCTGCCTACTGTTGCTGCTTCCTCTGCAAGCCGCTTTGCAACCTGCTTCCACCCCAGCTCCTCCTTTTCATGCTGTGTCTGACTTATCAATGTCATTTCTGTTTGTCACTGATGCTGCTCTGTTCTGTTCCCGGGGGGTCTTTGCTGCTGCTCTCTCTGCCTCAGGCTTTCCATGTAGGTGCATGGAAGGGCAGGGAGGTGTGCTCTCCCTGCCTTAGGCTTTCCATGTAAGCCTGTGGAAGGGCAGAGAGGTGTGCTCTGCAACAACTTATCCTTGTGAAAGTGGAGTTTCCTCCCTCACCTACCAGAAAAGCAAATACAAGTCAAGACTGCAGCCTGATTTTAGGCCCCCCCTTCTTTGGGTGGCACCCATGGAGGCGGCCTATGTCGTCTAAAGGAATATCTGCCACCGCACACGTGCACAGCAGCCAAGTAGTCCAGCAAATCACAATGAGGCAGTGCTTTGGCTTGTGAATGTTGTCCAGTCAAATGTTTAATCCATCCAGACTGAATCATGCTGTGTTAATTTTAGCACCCATTTCACTGCCTGGCAAGTCTATGAAAAAGTACTACATGAAGAAGCGATACGCAACGCCACCGCCGCCAACCCTGTACACACACACCTCCTTGCACTTCCGCTAATAAACTTAGTTCCACAACCTTGCCAGTGTAGCAGGTGTTGCAGCTCCTCTTCAGCCCCTTTCCCTCTCCAACAATCCAGCCCCCCCATGGCAAAAAAAATTAATCTCATCAACTACTAATCACAGCTATGCATTCTGGGACGGCTCTCCAGCAACAGAAGGGCCGGGTGAAAAACCAATTAGCTAAGCATTTTGGATCAAGCACAGTTAGTTGCACAAACAAAAGACACTCAGCGTTCTACATATTCAAAGCACCCACACACACGTACACACACACACACACACACACACACACACTCAAACCTGACCGTGAAGGAAATTAATTTAGCTGTAGAAATAGAAGTGCAATCAAACATTACGGTTCCCCTCTATCTCACCTACTAATAATAATGCGACAACAAATACAAAGAGCGACAAGAGTGTTAGAAAGAGTTAGGGCGTATGTGTGTGTGTGAGACAGAGGGAGAGACACAGAGGAATAGAGGGAGACGGAGAGAGCTGTTTCTCCTGGCTCGGAGATCCTTACCATCTGTGAGGGTTTGGAAGCACATCTTGCTGCTGTATTTGCCAAAGCCAGCCACAGTCCTTGCCCGCACCTGTACCACGTACACTGTCCCCGGCCTGAGGCCCTCCACGCGTGCAGTGTTCGTTTGGCTTCGCAGGATGGTGGAGTTAATCTCTGCATGGTCCTAAAAGGAGCAACAGATGCACGGAGAGCAGGTTAGAGATGACTTACAGAGAGGATGTCAGCGGGAAAGTGTTAACCACACAGTTAAGAAAACTCGGGTGGAACGAGATGCAGTGGCAGGAGCAGGAGTTTGACAGTGAGAGAACACACAGATGAATCAAGCGTGGTTTAATCAGGAAAAAGTACAGAGAAAGTGAACCAAAATTTAGAGGAAATCCATTTAGGCTGTATATTGTAGTGCTTGTAAACCAGAGATACAAGAAACGTAGTCTGCTTTTGGTAAACAACATTGATGGAGGAAGGATGAAAACAGTAGATAGCAGCAAGGAATAGATAAATGGAAGAGACAGAACAGAATAGTTAAGGGCAGTGAAGCTCTCCTAAAAATTATGTCTTAAGGGCCCATTTAAACAGCGAGAGATAATATGTTTTTCCTGCCCGTTTTTAAGGCTTTGGTCAGTTTGAACTTCAAATACACGACACTGCAGCAACATTAAAACCATACACACGAGCACACCGCTCACACAAACACAATAATTCCCACTCATACGGTAACACACGTATAATATGGTAATTAAAGACAATCATTTCTTGCTAATTACAAAGAGCAATAGCTACGTCTGAACGGTAATAGAATAGCATTGCATATTTGTCTGCTCAGATGTGCCTTATGAGGCAGTTTAATTACTGCAAGAAGTTTGAACATAACATCCTCTTGTTTTGTTGTCTGAAGTAGGTTGCTTTTTAAATATGATGGCAGGCCAGTTCCACCCACAGAAAACATTTTATTTTTTCATTAAAGGCAATGCTATAAAAATCCACTGTGCAGCGGCTGTTTGTCTACACACGTGCCCTCTTTCTTATGCTTGTTTTTTTTTTGCATTTGAATATCTGTGTAGATCATCTCAATGTGTTTTCACATGCATGTATTTATGTATACAGATAGCCATCCGTTATGTAAATGACCGTGGGTCCTGCCCTCCAGATCCTGTATCTCTCTCTTTCTCTTCAGGCTCAAGAGAGCCAGTCAGGCAGTCTGCTGCAGTGTAGTTTGGGGCTTGCTGGAGGTATCTGATACGGGGGATCAGTAATTACTTAGGCCTGTCACCTTCCCATAACCCAGAGTGAATATGACAGCCAGAAAATAAGACTGCACCTACACTAAACCCACCACTGCAGGCTGCTGATAGCTAGATGCAGACATACTGTAGGGGGGTGGGGGGGGGGGGGGGGCAGTTGAAAGTGAAGGGGCAAAATTCCCTGTGTCAGTAAAACTGTGTAAATAGAGGCAGGCTGTTTTTTTAAAGCTTGGTAAACACAGCGTTGTTTAATGTTGGGACTACATCTTATAATACATGTATGACTGCTCTGAGGAAATATGAATAACAAACCAGAGTTGACAACAGTGTGGAGTGGAAAAGGTAGATAGGCAAGGAGGAAGCAAGGGAGGGTGGAGGAAGATGATGGCAGGAAGCGATAAGAAACTCGAGGCAGAAGCAACCCACATCGAAATCATTATCCAATCTGATTGGTGTAATTGAATCATTCCGGTTGCTCCGTCATTGAGCAGACGGAGCAACCCCACATAATGATTTGTGCAATCACATTAGCTCTTATTGGACACTCTGGGCTTGATGAAGACAAATGTTTGGGCCTGGGATGGGAGAGCTTCGCAGCAGCAGGCTTTCGTTCTATTTCTGAGAGGAAAGAGATGTTTATAAATGGAATGCTGGATATAAGTGGGTTTAGAGAGTTTAATCACCTCGCAGACCTTTTGTCCAAGAGATCACACAATCTGTCATCTCTCCAGTGTGCTGCATACAAATACCCGAGAACTCTGAAACTTGACTTTAAAATGGGGAACTGTGAATTTTGAAAGAGCTGCAGAAGACATGGAGCCCCATGAGAGATTAGAGCCATGGTCACTTATTCATCTGGTATAAGACATGGTTGAGCGCACACGGACCACTTGGGGTCAGGAGCTGCCGACTCCTACTATCAGTCTTCCTGCATTTCTCAGAACCACACCCCCATCTGTTGAGCCTGAATGGAGGACAGGTGAGCAGACAGATGGCAAACCTCCAATGGGGGAGAATCCCTTGAGGGAGCACCAGCTAGGAATGGCCCTTTCATGCTGCCAGTCAAATAGGGATTATGTGACACACACACACGTACACACACATACACACCCACATCTGCCACTTAAAAATGAGCTGGCATTTGGCACTCCAGCAGGTTAGGGGATAGCCAATAAAAGGCCATGCCAGGAGGGACTTCCAGCCACGAGAGGTCCTCTCCTGCTGCCAGTCAAATGGGGATTATGAGGACCACACCCTAACTTGCTAAATAAAGACGGAGCTGCAGGTGGGGAGACAGATGGCAGAGCAGCCAATCAAAAGCATTGCCAGGGGTGACAGACAGGAAGCGCCGCGGGGAGTTTGGGCTCTGCAACATTCAGTTAAATCACTGAGACTAACTTAGCAAGAATGCTCTTCCTAATAAATATTGGTTACAGTCTCAATATGTGCAATAACCTACTCAAACAACACCTACTTAGACTTGGAACCACATTGAGAAGTGATACTGGGCTAATTTGGACATTTTAATTGGACCAATTTTAAATGATTGACTAAATTTGCTAGCTGTACCACATTAGCACTGGATCTATTATAATCATATTGCTAGATTGCTGGAAGTCCAACACTTGTATTTTTTTTTTCTTGTTAAACTTTCAGTTCATTTTTTTTGTAATTGCCAATTTCCTACCAATTGCCATTGCACTGCCAGCAGACTGCAGAGGGGAGATCTCTCTTTGAATTTCTTTTCTGCCACTTTCAGCCATTTCCCACTTATTTTCTGAGGTTTTTTTTTTTTTTTTGGGGGGGGGGG